AACCTTGCCATACAATAGCCAAACTTTTTTGCATATTACACCTAAAAATGCTAGTGGCTTACAAAGTTACCTGCTAGTTCTGAATGTAGATCTTACATAATATTTTAAATCTTTTAGGATTTTAGAAAACAAAATCACTACTTTGGGGCACATTTATAATGGAGAGTGAATGTTGTCAATAATTCTCTGCTCTACATTGCAAGACTTTGCAACTTCACATCATGCATTATACAGTCCATTATTTAAAATGTAGAGCAGCAGAAAGAATGTTATTGGAGGAAAGGCTGATCGTAAAACTTTGATAGATCACATGACTATGATCTCCATACTGAGGAAACCAAAGCAGTGAAGAATGGTGCAAAATAACAACTGTGTTTGGTAACTCTATGACAACAATCAACCATTGGTTTTCTATTGACTTTTTTTTATATAATTGTATTTTTTTGGTGAGTACAAACATTGCCTATAAGGCCAAACACTATAAATAGTTGAGAAAAACAAAGAATAGGTTTGATAATAAATTCACATGCTCTGGAGATGCCCTAAATTGTACAGGTATAGGAAGGAAGTAGTAGGAACAATAAGATTGGTATTTGGAGTTAATCTTGCAGTAGAACTGAAACTCTGTGTATTGGGCCATATAGTGGGTCATGGGGCTTCATCGTTGATTCAATTGGCATTCTTGAAGTGTCTTTATCAAGCTGGAAATCTAATTGCTAAAAAGTGAATGGCCCCCTTACCATACTCTCATGCAGATTGGTTAAAAGGGGTCAATAATATGTTGATAAGGGAAAAATCTGACAGTGTGGGAAAATTTGAAAAGATGTGGAAACCATGGGATGATGCCTTCAGACTGGTACCCTGATATGGGATAGTATGATGGTGTCTCTGACTTCTTGGGTTTGATATGAATATGGAAATAAGTGTTATGTATTTTGGGATGTGTGTCTTATAGTGGGGGGGCATTTTTTTTCTTTTCTTCTCTTGAGAGGGAGGGGTAACAAACAACCAGATGATTAAAAGAGGATAAGGCACTTTCAGAGTATTAGAACTGCCCCATCCACAAAATCCAAGATTTACATGTTTTTTCAAAATTAGGGTAACTGTTACGTCTCATAGCTAATAACTTTTCATACACATAGTGGGTTTTTACTAACTGTACAATTTCTGAAGGATTTGGTGCTAATTATTGTTTACAATATCTAGTAATTGTGATGCTGGCATCTAAAAGGTACCAACTGTGAACATATTAGTATGATATTTGTCAATTCCTAGATTAAGAATTGCTAGAGATGGAGTAGGAGAAGTCGGTTCACCAGTAATTTCTGCCTGTATTTTGAATATTTCTCTCCATAAACTGAGGTGTATGTATTTACAGACCAGCGGATCCACAGTTTCTCCAATAGAGAGGGGACTGTGAAGGATAAAATTTAGGCAGACGAAATGGGGTTGGGTACCACCATAGTGCAATTTTTGGGACATTTCCCAATAATTGATAGAGTTTGTCTCCTTATAAATAGAAGTGAAGGCTTGGCACTATTGAGAAATGGTGAAAATGGATAGATCTGGGGTTTTCTATAGATTATTGAACATTAATGCATGTAAATACATTTATGTGTTAGAGCTGTAGTTAGAGAAGTTGTTCTAAAAGACGCCTTTCTATTTCCAATTTCCAACAGATATCTAAGGAAAAAGTGTGGCCTGTTTCAAAACACTGCACATATTTGTATAGATTGCATATTGCAGGTTTGGTTTAAAATGATTATATTTCCCTATGCTAAAATCTGGACCAATGTTCTCTAAAAACCTCCAAAAATTATTTGTAACTACAGCAATGCTAAAAAAAAATTAAAAAATAATGTTTTAGGAGATTATTGCAAATGGCAGTTTTATGGAGTCAGTCATAAATATTCGAAAATGCATCGTTTATCATAGTAATTTCTCCAGCTCAGAACAGCAGCTCACAGAATTCTCCTTGACACAGCATTTTTGGTTTGAGGCATAAAGTTATTTGAGTTCCTTAAATGTCAATGCTGAAGCCACTCTGCTCAAAATAGAAAAAAAAGTATATTTCATCAAATAGCAGAAAATGTAATATTGAGCTGTTCAGCTCTATTCTTTTTTATCCAGTGTGTTCAAGATTAAATGGCAGTCTTTGCATTTATTGTTAGAGATTAGATGTCAGGAAGCTGAAGGCATTGATCGGAATTCTGGGTGAGCTCCAGGAACTGTTATATTTTATCATGTTTGCCCTTGAAATTACTTTACAATATTGTTTGTTACTAGGTGTAAAGTTTGAAGAAAAGATCAAAGTAAACCCAATGTGGAAAGAAATCTCAAGCCTGAATAGTCAGTGGAACTTCCATTGAACGAAACCACTTACAAATTACACCTACCTTATGGGATAGTTTAATTAATGAAGTAGTTTAAATTATAGTTCTACTCAAAACAAAATGTAGTATTGCAGATAAATTCACTTGGATTCACAAGAGACTTAAGCAAATATAAAGGAACACACTTTAACCTCCCTAGCGGTATGATTATTTCAGATTTTTGGTGCTGAAAGCGGTACCATTATTTTGCATGGAAATATGTAGTTTTTTTTATTGTAGGCTGCAATTTTTAGGAATAACTCACTGAAATCTGTCCGAACAAGAATCTATTAAACATCCCGGGTATGATAAAATTTGAAACACGAAATTATAAATTATAATTTAATAAATAATCATAAAAAATAATAATATAATAATAATACATTTAATTCAATAATATAATCCAACCGAAAACACTGAAATTTGAAATATAGCGCCAAGTTCGCACATTGCTGAGCAAAGTCGCAAAATCGTTTTCAGTGTCTGATGACGAATTTCCCCACAAATCATTATCACTCAATTCTGCAAGTGGTTCTAATTTACTATCGCTGTTCTCTAGCTGATCTAAACCCACTTTTGACCTAAAGGGACACTTTTTGGACGCCATGGACATTTCTCAGTTTCCAGGCAGAAAGAACAGACAAAACGCAGGCAGGGCACAGGACAAAGCACTAGGGACAATATGTATGTGAAATGGGTTGAAACAGCAATGTATTACTATGAAAAATGTTTTTGAAAAAAATGACATTTTTTAACATTTTCAAATTTCCCAACGTCACAGGGACCGGAACACAGAAGCCGGATGCCGGCATCGACCGGAGGAGATGGCCGGGGATGCTTCAGGGGACACATCGCAGAAGCGAAGGACAAGGTAAGCTCTGCAGGGACTCCCTATGCAGCGCCGCATGGTAAGCCCGAGTGTAGCTCGGGGTTACCGCTTTTGGTACTGACATTTTACCCCGAGCTACACTCGGGAATACTGCTAGGGAGGTTAATTCAGTTACAAATTCCTTTTAAAGTTAAGAAACCATACTTGAATATAGCTATTGAAGTAATCAAAAACCTCCCATTATATTGAGCTTTGCCAGCTGAAAACTGAAATAACGCATGCACTACACTATGGTATTATGATCCAGACACAAATTTATCCAAATGTAAATTCAGATGGAAGACTGTACACAAATCCAACATATTTCAGAGGCAAAGTCTACTAGTACTGTTTCACCAAGGTATTGCTGATGAACATTGCACCAATCTATACAACAGTTTGTATACAAAACAATTTCATTACTATCAAGTCTGGATACATTGTTTCCTATCACTAAAGCCCCGATGGGAAAGGGCAAGGTTTAACCCCCAAGATGTATTGGGTTTGTGTACAGTCTCCCATCTGATTTTACGGTGGAATAAACTTGGAATAATCTGGATCATATCATCACTTTTGTAGATTCACTCCTCCACTCACTACACCAAGGCAAAATGTTCAAAATGTTGCACTTTGCTGTATGACCTGCTGAAGGAACGTCAATAAAGTCAGTTCCTTTTGGATAAGTTTAGGTGTGCTGGCAACATAAATACTTGCTGGAATTAACCTTCCTAGCAGTATGATTATGTTAGTATTTCTGTGCTCAAAGCAGTACATTTTTTTGCATGGAAATATGTATTTTTTTTATTGTAGGCCTGTAATTTTTAGGAATAACTCACTGAAATCTGCACGAACAAGAGTCTAGTAAACATCTCGGGTATGTTAAAATTTGAAACACGAAATCATAAATTATAATTTAATAAATAATCATAGAAAATAATAATATAATAATAAAATTAGTTCAATAATATAAATCAAACCAAAAACACTGAAATTTGAAATATAGCGCCAAGTTCGCATATCACTGAGCTTAGTCATAAAATCGTTTTCAGTGTCTGATGATGAATTTCCCCACGAATCATTATCACTCAATTCTGCAAGTAGTTCTAATTTACTATCGCTGTTCTCTAGCTGGTCCGTAAAGGGACATTTTTGGACGCCGTGGACGTTTCTCAGTTTCCAGGCAGAAAGAACAGTAAAAATGCAGGCAGGGCACAGGACAAAGCACTCGGGACAAAATGTATGTGAAATGGTTTGATACAGTAATGTTTTACTATGTGAATTTAGTGTATTGAGTGAATGTCACTTTTTGTCATTTTCAAATTTCCCGCCAGTTCTGTCCCCCATATGTCCCGGCGCTCGCAGGGGACGGAACCCAGATAACAGATGCCGACATCCACCGGAGGACATTACAGGGGACACTGCAGGAGGGACATCACGGGAGCGCAGGACATGGTAAGTGAAGAACAGATCCCGGAACAGCGCCGCATGGTGAGCCCGAGTGTAGCTGGGGGTTACCGCTTGTGGTGCTGAAACTTTACCCCGAGCTACACTCAGGAATACCGTCAGGGAGGTTAAAGAGTATGTAAACCTAGCATTTCATATTCCTGATTTGTGCTTACTATGTACTTGTATGAAAAAGTATCTTGTTCTCTTTACATTGCTTCCTTTTTGTGAAATCAGTGATCATTTTTTTGGCCAATCAGTGATCACATGAATAGTAGTAAGCAAGATGTCACTTCTGACATCATTACTTACTCCTAGTGAAATCTGTGAATGATCACAGAGGTCACATGTTACAAGGCTATTCACAACAGCCTTGTACCATGTGATAAGCTGTGACCAATCACAGCTCACACAGTATTTCTCAATGGCTGCAAGAATTCAGCCAGAGAGAAGGAGAAATGATTGCTTTTACAGCCTTTATGAGTGTAAAAGCAAAAAACAAAAAAATCTTCATCACCCCCCACAAGTAGTACTGTGTCACTATGGTGACACTGTACTGCTAGGGTGACAGTATGTTAAAAACAATAAAAAAAAAAAATAATTTAAAAAAAAATTAAAATGTAAAATTTTTTTTTACAAAATTATAATTTTTGGTTATAAACTAATTTGAGTTATTTTTTTTTTTTACTAAAAAGATAACCGAATAAATTTTGGCCAAGATTTATGAAGAAAGATTATTTATTTGCAACATTTTATAAGAAAAACACTTCTTTTCAAAATTTTTGGACATTTTCATTTATATAGCAAAAAAAAAACAAAAATCCCAGTGGTGAATAAATACCACCAAAATAAAGTTTTATCTGTCTCAAAAAAATGCAAAAAAATTCATATGGGTACAGTGTTGCATGACCGCGCAATTGTCATTCAAAGTGTCATAGAGCTGAAAGCTGAAAATTGGCCTGGACAGGAAAGGGGGTAAAAGTGTCTGGACTTGAAGTGTTTAATAGACAAGCTGAAGTTAGAAGCTGATTGTCTACCATGTAGAGCTGTACCAGATTCTGAGTGCCCCCAGTTTTAGTAAATTTCCCCCCTGTGTGTCAAATGCTGATTTTGGGGCAGTGATGCTAAAACCTATGCACTGCTCAGCAACTAGTTTTCAGTGCATACTGTTTTGTTTTGTATCACAGCCCAATCACACTGATATTATATGTCACTAAGTCTGATTTAAGCAAATGACCTTTAATAACCCAACTGCCACATTAGGAGCTCATAGAACTACACAGAATCAGGGGCGGACTGACCATTTGGAAACTCGGGCACTGCCCGAGGGCCCGGGTCAGTAGGGGGCCCCATGAGATGCCCCTGGTACCTTTTTCATAGACTTTTTTGAGTTTGGGCAAGGACACAGGGGCCCCGTGATCCACTATTGCCCGGGGGCCCCATGAGTTGTCAGTCTGCCCCTGCACAGAATAAGTCTTTTTTTTGCCAGGATACCTTTCACATGTTAAAACAAAAAAATCCTTTTTAAGGTCACTACCTGGTCACCCTGTAGACACAGAGACAATCTACTCTGCAATCACTAAAAGGCAAGTATGAAGTAAATGACACTTGTAGCACAGGTAAAAGCCACTTCATCTAATTACATTATCTACAGTAATAAAGTAATCTCAGAATCTGTCAACCTTTATTAAAAAAATGATGCAAAAGCTTTTAAAGCCTTGATTAAAGCATGCCATTTCCTTATATGGCTGTAATGATTTGTGTGCAGATATCTATTCAAAGAGGAAATTAACATTTTGCTTCATGTCATAATGGTATTAAAGTACATTAAATTCTTGTATCTAAAATCTTCTCGTTACTTCTCTTTATGTGAAAGATGCACAAATGACTATTCCCAAAGTCAGTCTGGGAGGGATACTGCCACCTAGTGGTCTCAGTAAAGTTCAAAAAATAAAATAAATGTGTGTACAGTATATAGTATATATATCCGCTTTCCCGCCGCCCTATAGGAGAAATACTGCCACAGGGCAGCAGGGCTGTGCAAAATCACGTATATATACGTGATTTTGCTTTTCCGGGTAGAGGGTACCTGAACCACCATTGGCAAGCCTCACCTGTCTGTCACTGGGTCCCGGCCAGTGATTCCCCGTCGGCACCCTGCGATTGCCGTGTATCACTGACAGGGGAGAGACCTGTATGTAAACAATACAGATCTTTCCCCTGTCAGCTCCTGCACATTGCTTTGTATGGCTCTGCATAGCAGAGCCATACAAAGCAGTGTGCTTAAACAGTAAAGCACACACACAGCACACAGTAAAACAGTACACAGCATACAGGTAACCCTTTGATCACCCCAGATGTTAACCCCTACCTGCCCAGTGTCATTAGTACAGTGTCAGTGCATTTTATTAGCACTGATCACTGTATTGGTGTCACTGGGGATGTCAGTGACCCCAAGTCAGTTCCCCCCCAGTGTCAGAATGTCCGCCGCAGTCCCGACATAAGTCGCTGATCGCCGCCATAAGTAGCTGATTTCCGCCATAAGTCGCTGATCGCCACTATTATTAATATATTAATTTAAAAATTCTTTATCTATACGCCATTTGTAAACACTATAACTTTCACGTAAACCAATTATTTTTTTAGCAAAGACATGTCGCAGAATACATTTTGGCAGAAATGTATGATGAAATTAGATTTTAAAATTTTTTTACTGGACATGTTTTATAGCAAAAAGTCCAGAATGCCCTCAGACCCGCTAAAAGTTGCTGATTGCCGCCATTACTAGTATAACAAAAAAAATTCCAGTATCTATACCGCCATTTGTAAACGCTATAACTTTCACGTAAACCAATTAATTTATACATATTGGGATTTTTTTAGCAAAGACATGTAGCAGAATACATTTTGGCCTAAATTTATGACGAAATTTGATGTTTTACATTTTTTTACTGGACATGTTTAATAGCAAAAAGTAGAAAAATATTGTTTTTTTTCTCAAAATTCTTGGTCTTTATATTTTATTGTGCAAAAAATAAAAAACTCAGAGGCGATAAAATACCACCGAAAGCAAGCTCTATTTGTGGGGAAAAAAAAGGACAGAAATTTAATTTGGGTGCAGTGTTGCATATTCGCAGAATTGTCAGTTAAAATAACGTAGCGCCGTAGCACAAAAACTGACCTGGCCAGGAAGGGAGGTAAATCCTCTGGAGGGCAAATGAGAAATACTGCTACAGGGCAGCAGTACTGTGCAGAATCATGTACATATACACGTGATTTTTCATTTTCGGGTAGAGGGTACCCGCGCCACCATTGGCAAGCCTCACCTGTCGATCACTGGGTCCCAGCCAGTGATTCCCCTTCGCACCCGGCGATCACCATGCATCACCGACAGGGGAGAGACCTGTATCTAAACAATACAGATCTTTCCCGTTAGCTCCTGCACACTGCTTTGTATGGCTCTGCATCTTTTAGACATGTTATTATTATTATTATACAGTATTTATAAAGCGCCAATAGTTCGCTCAGCGCTGTACATTACAAAGGGGGACAGAACATGTGACAGAACAATACCAATACAATGTGATACACGAGGGGTTCGAGGGCCCTGCTCTTTCGAGCTTACAATCTAGGAGGGAGGGGGTGGTGGCACAGGAGGAGATAGCTGTGGGGGATGGAGTGGTAGGAAGAGTGGAGGAGGTCAGCAAGTTAGCAGGGGGTGGGGTAGGCTTCCCTGAAGAGATGGGTTTTCAGGGTGCGCCTAAAGGAGAGGAGAGTATGTGATAATCTGATGGGTTGGGGCAGGGAGTTCCAGAGGATGGGTGACACCCTGGAGAAGTCCTGGAGGTAGGCATGGGAGGAGGAGACCAGGGAACTAGAGAGAAGGAGGTCTTGTGAGGAGCGGAGTGTGCGTGTTGGGCGGTACTTGGATATTAGGTCAGTGATGTAGTTCGGGGCAGTATGGTGGACAGCTTTGTACGTCAGCGTTAGGATTTTGAATTTGATCCGTTGCGCAATCGGAAGCCAGTGGAGGGATTGGCAGAGGGGGGTGGCGGAGACAGAGCGGTTGGAAAGGTGAATGAGTCTGGCAGCCGTATTCAGGATGGACTGAAGCGGGGATAGCCAGCGGTGAGGCAGGCCAGTGAGGAGGGAGTTGCAGTAGTCAAGTCGTGATATGATGAGGGAGTGGATGAGCTGTTTAGGTTTCTGGGGTTAGGAACGTGCGGATTTTGGCGATGTTGCGGAGGTGGAGTCTGCACGAGTTTGTTAAAGATTGGACTTGGGGCTGGAAGGATAGGTTGGAGTCCAGAATGACACCCAGTACTCTGGCCTGCAGGGCGGGTTTGATGGTAGCGTTGTTCGATGTGATGGAGAAATCAATGGGGGGTGGTGTCCGGGCTGGGGGGAAGACAAGAAACTCGGTTTTGGAGAGGTTCAATTTAAGGAAGTGGAGCGACATCCAGTCTGATATGTCGCTCAGTAGGTGTGTGATTCGGGCTGAGACCAAGGGGGTGAGGTGGGGGGTTGAGAGATAGATTTGTGTAGTTGAAGCCGTGAGAGTGTATGAGTTGGCCAAGGGAGGAGATATAGATGGAGAAGAGAAGGGGCCCAAGGACAGAGCCTTGAGGGACCCCAACAGAGAGGGGGAGTGAGGGGGAGGTGGTAGCATTATAGGTAACGCTGAAGGAGCGTTGTGACAGGTAGGATGAGAGCCAGGAGAGAGCAGAATCTCTGAGGCCGAGGGAGTGTAGTTTTTTGAGGAGGAGGGGGTGGTCGACTGTGTCGAAGGCCGCAGAGAGGTCAAGGAGTAGGAGCACTGAATAGTGGCCATTAGCTTTGGCGGTTACATGTCATGTCTAATCTTTTAGACATTAATGGTTGTGTGCAGGGGCGGACTGGCAACTCATGGGGCCCCGGGCAATAGGGGATCATGGGGCCCCTGTGTCCTTGCCCAAACTCAAAGAGCCTATGAAAAAGGTACCAGAGACATCTCATGGGGCCCCTTACTGACCCCGAGCCCTTGGGCAGTGCCTGAGTTTCCAAATGGTCAGTCCGCCCCTGGCTGTGTGTTGAGTTATTTTTGATGGGACAGCAAATTTACACTGTTATACAAGCTGTACACTCACTACTTTACATTGTAGCAAAGTGTCATTTCTTCAGTGTTGTTACATGAAAAGATAGAATAAAATATTTACAAAAATGTGAGGTGCGTACTCACTTCTGTGAGATACTGTATATATTTTGGCTATACACGCACTTACACCATTTAAATAATTGAATCTATGAAAGTTTTGGTAAAGAAGCACAAAATACACCAATGGAGCAAACATGACAGAAGAGGAAACAGAAGAATATTGGACTGCAGGGGTTAAAGCTAAAAATGGTCCAAATCCCAGGAACTAATTACCATCTTTTAGATTGTAAGCTCTCATGAACAAGGCCTTCTAAAACATCTTGTAAAACTGAGATGTATTGCCGCTATACTGCCTCCCTCTATTTTGTAAAGCACTGTGCAAACTGTTGGCACAAAATAAATGCTGACTAATAATAATTCATTATTAATTAATAATTTATTAATTAAAGATATACTTAAAAAAAATGTACCCTGCCATAAACTGGTGGGTTTTTTACATTGCTAAGTCAGCATTTGCATCAGCTCTAACCTTGTGGTACCTCCCATAGGTAATACGTCAATGCTCCCATTTGATGATATGGGTCATATCTGTACACATCTAATGTGACAGTCACAATGACCAGTGACCCCAGCCAAGGAGACAATGGTGTGTGACATTACTTAGGTGAGGGAGACGGATGGCTGGCTTCTAGGCACATCACAAATAAAAGTGTTAAGCCCAAACTAGAGACACAGTTTATGAGGATTTTCCTTTGTGTACACATTTCTCTTACGGGCATCAAGCTCTATTGGAGGGTTATATAAATAGTTTGCTGGACTTGGATATATTTGAAGAGCCATATAAGGTAACTGATTTTCAGAAAGAGACTTAGGTCTATAAACATCTGTTTTATTCATTTAAAATGTAGAAAATGCTTGCTAAAGCAAAAATATATTAAATAACTCAAGTTGGAAAAAAAACTGCCTCCTTTCACTTTTTTTGTATACTTCATCTTTGCATTTTTTTCAATTGTTTTTTATGTTTTTAGTTTTGGATAAATTAGGTAAGAGTTAAAATAATTGTCATGTTTGTATTTATGTCTGTGACTCCATTAAGAAGATCTTCCCTGCTTCCTGTCCTGTCTTACAATCATATTACATATATGCCAGGGCTAAGTGTATTTATTTATTTCAGGTACTTATATAGCGCTGTCAATTTATGCAGTGCTTTACATATATATTGTACATTCACATCAGTCCCTAACCCACAAGGGGTGTACAAACTAAGGTCCCTAACTCACATTCATACATACTAGGGCCAATTTAGACAGGAGCCAATTAACCTACCAGCACGTCTGTGGAGTGTGGGAGGAAACCAGAGTACCTGGAGGAAACCCACGCAGGCACAGGGAGAACATTCAAACTTCAGGCAGGTGGTGCTGTGATTGGGATTTGAACCAACGACCTTAGTCCTGCCAGGCATTTAGCCACTGTGCTGTCTTTATACCATGCTAAAATTGTTCTCAAAAGTGATATGTACAAGTGTAGTGAATGAATATATATGAACTATGTACAATATTAACGTCTTTGTGAATCAAAAACTAATTCTCCAAAAACAAAACCAAAAATAATCTGCTATTGGGCAGCACAGTGGCTAAATGGTTAGCACGTCCGCCTGGCAGTACTAGCGTCATTGGTTCGAATCCCAGCCATGGCACCTCCTGCCTGGAGTTTGCATGTTCTCCCTGTGCCTGCGTGGGTTTTCTCTGGGTACTCAGGTTTCCTGCTACACTCCAAAGATATGCTGGTAGGTGAATTGGATCCTGTCTAAATTGTCCCTAGTATGTGTATGAATGAATGTAAGCTAGGGACCTTAGATTGTAAGCTCCTTGAGGGTTAGGGACTGATGTGAATGTATAATATATATGTAAACGCTGCGTAAATTGATATAAGTACCTAAAATAAATAAATACATTTGTTCAGTTCTCTGTTGTTCCCGAAATAAAAAGAATCTCCATCATGTGACCAATGATATCTCATATATTGAAGGGAGCTCACCAGTATCAATTGAATCCTTAGAAAGTAGCGACTTAATAACAGCGCCTTCCCAACTGGGTGTCATCAGTATTTGAT